TAACATACCCACAACTCCATTTACTTCTGCCCCATAAACTCCTCACATCTAGATGCTCCCTCCCCGGATTTCTCCACAGCTAGGAAAAAACATCAAGGGTCTTTCTCTTTAAGTTTTGCCCTACTTATACACACACACCTCTCACCACTGTGACATTTAAACTACAATTGCAGCTTCCCTGGCATAAGCTCCCTACTCCAAAAATGACCAGTAATTTTGCAGTTTATTCCTAGGACAGCTAAAACTATGTGAGGATGAGGAAAACCAGTTAACATCGCCTGGTGTTTCATGAGAAGTCTGAATTAAATTCTAGGAACATAATCCTTCTTTCTCTTCTACTCCTCCCACAGCCTTGAAAAATTTTAGCTTTATTACAGAAGTGCACGTAACTATGCTGTCGTAAGGCCCACAGAGCAAAGCATTAAATAAAAGTTTAAGCAAAGAGATCAACAGAATGACTGCACGTCTTCAGCTTCACCAACCCAGGCCCTGCCAACAAGTCAAGCAGTGAAATCACATCAGTATCATGGATACACATTAAGGGAAAAGAAAAAAAAAGAGTATTTGTTATACAGCAACATTTCTTCATGTTGTTTAAACAAAGTATAAAGCTCTAAAACAAACACAAATTAATGTCTTGGTAAAAAAGTGGAAATATTTTTTATGTAGCTTGAGCATTCTCCCACTGTACACTCTGCTTGCCTCCGTAAATTCTCAGAGAAGAAAGTAAGCTAGCCAGCCCCAGCCTTTTGATGGATAGCTTTTTCAGGTCCAGTATGTGCTTTCCTCCTCTCCAACCAGTGCTACTGGGTAACTGTCTTGTGAGTAAGGCTAAACTGCTAAGTGTTCACAGTAGTCACCCCAGCTTCTTCCAAAACCAAGACCTTGCATAGACAGCTGCAAGTGAATAAACCCAGCCGAGAGCAAGAAAGTATCTCCCATGTCGCAGCAGCCGAACAGACACTCTAGACCTAACACTCACGTAGAGCCTGAATCCCCTTTTTTGGGGTGGGAATCATGATGAAATGTATTTATTACCTTGTATTTGTTACTCAGACAAGCAGCAGTTTTGAAGCAACCAAGAGCTGTGAGCAATAAAGTAAGCTCATTCTCACTTTGCATCATCCCGCCTATACTAACGCTGGAATCTGAAAGAAAAGTACACCCACGCACAAAGCCGCGCTGGCATTAATTTAGTTAACTTGAACACCAAAGCTTTCCCCAGCACAAGTAACACGGTATCCCCTGGATACTTCGGCAGCTAGCTTGCACCAGAGTAAATGCAGGCCTGCAACCCAATGAACGCAGGTGCATCCAGCTGGCCTGCAGTTTTATCTCTGATTGCCCACCTGAACATATCCAGAAAAAACACAGGTCAGAGTTCATAATCACTATGCCAGGGTGAATTCTGAACTGCTTCCTTGCAATAACAAAGGCTGCTAAAAAAAGGCTTACACTAGAAAACGTTTAGGTTGTACAGGAAACAAGCAGCAGAAACATAATTATGCACACCATATGATGTAAGTTAAAGTGATTTTGTATCACCTGTTACCATCACAGATCTCACATGCAATGGTATTTTTTCCTTCTGCCACAGCAACAGTAAGAAGGTAGCTGAGTATGTCTGAGACAGAAGCAGCCTTTCCTGAAGTACCATGTGATAATTTCTCCCTGAGCTGCCTGAATTCAAGGGCAACAGGGAGCAAATGGAAAGCCAATGCTGCCTGTCAGCCGAGGTCTCCAAACCAAGCAGTAGCATGAGAAAGAGCTTGCAAGCTCGTAAGCCAACAGGAGCCAACTCCTCCTGTTGTCTTTCCTCTGCCTCCAACTCGTGCACTACTTTTTGGTAACACTTCACATCTCATTCTTATTTCTCACTCATTTTCCTCCATAACCATCTTTTTGCTTTTCCTTGCTGGGATCTTGGTAAGGTTCTGGAAGTTGGGAGGTTCAATGACCTTAAAATGTTCTCATGGAAGTCTGGCTTCTTCAACTCATTGCTCCAGCTCTACGATCTGATGAAAACTCTCAGAACATCTCCCTCAATATCCAAGTAACTGCCAGGATCTCCCATTTCACTCTCTAAACCTGTGTAAACAAATTTCTCCTTGTCTGAATATGAACAAGCAGTGACAATGCTACACTTTTTAAACCAAATCAGGGCTAACAGCATAAGAGCAACTTTCTTAATCTAGTCTGCTAATAGCAGAGAGCTACCACCAATTGCTTCCTATAGCATGGAAAACAAAGGAAACCTAAACAATGACAGCAAGAAGCAACTCACAGCTGTCAGTAGCTGGATACCAGTAGGTTGTAACTGCACAGGTTACAGACACACTAACCTTAGGACAAAAAGAAAAGTGAATTTTTGGGAAAAGTAGGAGGGAGAAGACACAAGTCAAATAGATGAAACCTCTTTGATGCATTCCAGAAGTAAGTCTTATGACATCCAAGACTGCCACTCTGTGCCATTCGTTTAAAAATGTTAAGTTTTTTGTAATAGTTCTTAAACGTTAATCAAGTTAGAGCTATCCATGAAATTAGAAGGGTCACATTTCTTGTACAATTCTACACATTTTATGTTTATGTAGTAAAGAACCTACATTGAAAGCAGCTCTCCATAGTAACATGGGAATAAAACATCATAATTAAACATGATTTGTTCATCATTGCTGCCTATACAGCAAATAAAATAATTGATGCTTGTAAGACTTACATTTCTATTTCCCCTGACAGGTTTGTAAATGAGAATTATTTTCCAACTCAAACATTTTATCTATGCTGTTTAAATTAAGATCGTTATTCAAATTTATTTTTTCCAATTGAGAATCAACTCTCAGTAAGGCCTAGAAATCCTGACAAATGTTTCAGAGCATAAACCCAAAGAAAGTACTTTAAGTTTTAAAACTTCACTGTATAGCTTCAGCAGTTTGACATGAGCAAGCACAAAATAAACCCTTATTTCTTCATTTGTTCAGACCTACTTAAGAGTTTTGCCCTGTACTTGGAAAATAGAAAATTGTGTAAGCTTTCTTTTGGTTGTAGTATAACAGAATCTTTGCAGCCATTTTTAAGTTAGGTAACACATGATAACTTCAGAATTAGGAACAAAAACCATATGAAACTTCTTGACTATTACTAAAATCTAAAGAAAGCAACCAAAACCAAACTGACAGTAGCACTGTGCTATTTTCTCATGTACAATTTTCCTTTTCTCAGTTTTGATCAGGTTAAGTTTAAGAATACAGATAGCCTGCTGTTGAGATCACACCCGTAACTGTGTATGCGCTGCTACAAACATACTTTAGTCAGTATCAATAATGCCACCATAACTTTATTCCACTCAAATCTATCATATTCTGATCCTTAATGATGCACTATTTAGTTGTTTGCATTCAAATACGCATATAAACATCCAAAACAGTTACCATAACAGTTTTTATTAAAAAAAACTAATGTACATGTTTTTCCCCAGGACAGCTATATTTTTCTTAAAAAGTACTGTACGTATCAAACACTTAAGATTTACCCCATCATTGTCAACTGTTTTTGAAGAGCTGTCAAACATCTCCAACTTTAATGAACTTCAGTACAGCCTCAAGAAAAAGCTTTTAGCTTTCTAGATGTATGAGAAGAGGCTTAGTATTTTGTGGCATGAAGACAACATGCCATTAACAAGTAGTCCTCGTGTTTACAGCATTCTTTCAGGAATGATATAAACTCCAAATCCCAAGCGATAATTCATACCCTGCATAAGACTAACGCAAGATACATTAAAGTTATGAATGTTGACAGACCTTTCCAAATGCTATCTATTCATCTTAGTATTTTTAACAGCTCTTTAAAGAGGTAATGGCGCAGATTAAGTACAAGCTTTTCGCCTCAGTATAATACACATTTGAAAATAAAATAAGACATGGAAGACCAGTATCTTACATTTTATTCTTCAGAAAAAGAAGAATCTTAAAGAAAGGATTTAGTAGTCCACTTGTGCTTAAAATATTCAATGCATGAGAAAGCCAAAAGAAAATACACATTTTTGTACACCGTGATCAAAAAGATAACATTATAAATTTTCAGGAATTGCACTGTATTTAAAACACTCTCTAGAATCTGCTCCACTTCTACGTATGGCTACTGAGGCTGCCTGACACAGTTCTTTTTCCACTTTAATTGCCAACCTGTGGAGGCCCTTCAGGGATGAGTGATGTGAAGAAGGTTGTGATAAAGGACCAAGCAGAAGCCATGAATCCAGGCTGCTGCTCTATATTGGCATCTTCACCTGCATCTTCTCCACTGTCTTCATCAATCCCGTCATCCATAAGTCGTTCCTTTAAAAACAGAAATTGAAGCAATTCAACTGCTTCTTTTCAGAGCTCTGATATAAGGTAACCAGCAGTATCTTCCTACATTAAGTAACTTCTCTCAGAACAACCTCCTGAAGAATAACTAGCATGAAGAAAGTCTGTGATGGAAGTAGAGACAATTAGTAATTGCCAGACTGGAAAAATACAGAATTTAAGCAGCAGGCACAACACTGAGGACAATGCTGAAAGTTTTCTGGTTAAACCAACTACATTTCATAGAAGCTGACTTTCTGTTCAGACATTACAGCATACTTGACAATACAATACATAGGAGTCTCAAAAGACATGTCTGCTCTCACTCACCATCTCTTCAAGATCAGGATTATTTGCATGTTGCCCATCACGATTCACTTCCACGTTATTGGCTGCCTGTTGTTGGCCTCCCTCTTGCCTAAAGGGGAACCATCCAGCCTGGTGTCTATGGAAGAAAATGGAACAGTTGAAAACCGTTCTTTTGAAAGGAATACAAATATTTTTCTGCAAGAGCTAACTACTACAGTAAATTCTTCAAGTACTTCCAAATGAATGAAGCTACATGTATTTTTCTGCAAGTCTTACTTCTAGATCAAATGGCTATTCTTTGATGCCTGGGTTAAGAAGGGTCTTGCTAAGAGCTGTTCGTTAAGTTTCAGAAGTGCTGTTCACAGCCCTCCGTTCCAGAAGATGAGTATTTTACCATGATTAGGTTATTATATATATAGAATACTTTTTTTGGGTCTCCTCCCCATTTTTAAGTACTTAAGTTATATTAATTTTCAAAGGCAACCTTAATTTTTATAGTTTAAAGTTGATTTTCTGTGGAAAAAAGAATGTAAACTTCAGCTAAGGCTTGAACCACATTACCGCTGTAAATTAAATAAGCCTCTCCTACGTTTTCAAGTGTCTGTATTCTGATTTCAGCTATCACATCTGCATGAGAAACAGAGCAGTCCTTGTGAGGATGGAGACTACCGCTGTAAATTAAATAAGCCTCTCCTACGTTTTCAAGTGTCTGTATTCTGATTTCAGCTATCACATCTGCATGAGAAACAGAGCAGTTCTTGTGAGGATGGAGACTACACTGTAAGGAAACTCTCAGTGAGTGACATCAGTCCAAAGTATCAAGCATTACTGTTTTCCACTTCTATTTACATCACTAAGGTATTTTCATATACAGAGGGAAGTGATGACAACAGTACTGATATTTCTTAATAAAACAAATAGAGAGCTTAGGTCTTTAAGATGCATTGTAAAAGAGTTTAAGTCCCTGCAATTCTACCAGATCTAGTGCCCACCATTACAGTAGCACTACCTTAACTCTGCCTAACACAATTTACTGCACAAATTTCATGTTATTTTGGAAATAAAAGCGAGCTTAGCTCTGCAATTTTCCTTTCATATCCAAGCAGTAAATGTTTTAAGTTTATGCAAGCATATGCTTGACCTATATGAACTTTGTTCCCGTCACCCCCACTTTCTAAGTTTCCATCCCAAAATTCTACATTTCTACAATACTGATCTGTTAATATCACGAACATTTAAGAGCACTGTATTTCAGGTATAAGTGGTATCCAACTTACTGTAAAAATATTTTGAGAATTATTTCTTTTTTCACATCACCTTCTCTGTTTGAAATTAATTTTTTTTCCCCCCACACTGTAAAGCAGCAGTGCCTAAACTTTTGTATTTGGATAATTTTTCACAGTTTAAATGGATTATACACTAGCACCATACTCCACGTATCAGATCTGCAGTTGTACTCAACTGTTGTACTCACAAATAAACCAGCAGCATGGCTCCCATTACCATGACAAATCGACTGAAGGAAGAATAGAAGTATACAATGCTCAGAAGAATTGCTGCTCTAGAGAATGTGTACATCCAGTCCAGCCAGTCCCGGTTGAAGTCCTCCTCATTCACTACTGGGCCACCCTGTGCATTCATCTGAACGTTCGGGTTTACAGGCCTGTTCTCCTGGACGGCTACATTTGGCACTGCTGGGGGCTCATTTGCAGGAGCACGTTCTGAATTTACAGCCTGGGCAACTGCAGATCTCACTGGCTCAGTGCTGGAAGTCACTTGGGCTGAAACAGCAGCTTGGCTAAAAATTTAAACATAAAACTAGTTCGTCAAAAAACACGCACCAAGATTTCTAAGCCTATTCTTGTCTTCTTTTCCACACTCATAAAAACAAAGTTTCAGATGTAGTACATGTCAAAACAAACTGCATTCTCCCTTAAATCTTTACTTATTAATACATTAATTTAATTCCAATCCAAAACTGGATTTTATAATTTGCTGGACAAAACTTAGTGTAAAACAGCACAGCCAGACAAAATAATACAGACATTTTGATCCTGCAAACACCACTTAAAGTTTTTAAAACCTTCTTTTCGTTAGTGTAACTCGGTACTACCTAAGATAACGCAGACTTACTATTGCATGTAGTACTGACGTGCATACATTTGTTGCCACCAGATCATCTGTAAGGGACTGAATGCAGGATACATAGAAAATCCAGCAGGAACACCTTGGCCTGGAAATTGGTTGCCTATATTACTATAAAAGGATTTAAAGAAAAATATTCAGTTCTGAATTACCACATTTATAAAATGCACTAATATTAAAAAACAATTAAAGTAGCATTCTTCCTCTCATTTGTCCCCCTACAATAATGCACTGAAATAACACTGAAACAACATGTAGTAAGATCATCCCACCCATTCCAAAAAAGCACTATATCTTCATACAAGAAATTAATAAGCAAAGTTATTTCTATAGAAAGAGGATTTATGTTTTTGTACTTAAGACATCTGGCCCTAGCTGCATCTGGGACAAAACCATATTGAGAATTTTGAAAAATTGTGTATGTAACTGCAGAAATTCTTCCACACAATTCCTTTTATGTTCAATGGTCACCCTTAAAGGCGCTGCAGGAGCTGTAAAGGGAGAACTTACTAGCTTTTACAACTTTCTTTTAGAAGCAATACCTGAAACACTACTGTGATCAAAGACACGAAGAAATGAACACTAGCAAAGACAACAAACTAATCTTTCAGATACAGCTTCTGAAGAATGCAGCTAAGAGCACTGTAAATGATTTACTTTCCCCCCTCAATATTTTGAGAATAAGCAATTCTCGTCCCTATAGGTTTTTAACTCTGGTGTACATGCAAGAGATATAAAGGTCCTATACATAAGTTTCAGGTTTGGTTTTGTCTGCTTTTAAACTTCTTAGCCTCTCTTACCTCCTAGAGCATATAGCATGTTTTGGCAAGATTTCCAACTCTTTCCCCAAAGATTTTGATGTAGTGAACTGTAGTAAACCAGGACATCTTTCAGGACAGCATGAGAGTATAAAGCATGAAGAAAAGTTTATTCAGACTGCAGGTAGCAAAAGCTGAGACTGCTGTAATTGTACTGCAGACTACACCTGTTCCCTAAGTAAGGCACTCCCTGCAAAGATATCACCAAGAGATTTCATTAGTCTACCAGGCATTCAGATATACAAGACATGCCCAGAAAGAAAGATGGGAGGGAGACATTAAAATCTTTTTTCCATCTTACACATGATTAAGTATTTCACTGTAATTCTGGACAAGAGCCTGCCATGCAACTCCATGACCTCTGCTAAAACTGACTGTTATATTTGTATTTAGTCCTAACCTGTTTTGACAACAGTTTGGAGGGAGAGGGGGAGGAGGAAGGGGGGAGAAAAGAAAGCAAAAGCTACTTTCCTGATACCACATACAAACTAAGATAATCATAGGTAATACTCCAGGTTTCTTTCAAAAATTGCAAGGGTGAGCTGGCAGCCCTGCTGATGCTACTTATTTATGCATAATTAACATGCTGGAACAGCAAAGCTGTCAAGCTGTTACTGAAAAACATCAATCATGCTTTTATCTTTATGGTTGCAAGTTTTAAGAATGTGTTCTTCTATCCCCTGAACTGGCAAACACTTTGAAAAATAAGACTCCTCCAAAATTCATAAAACACTGACCCTCAAAACACAGAGATGATTCAAATATTCTACATGGGTGTCATTAAGTACTACATTGTGACAAATCACTGAGCAATGTCTGAACTTCAACCAGGTAGAATATCACATGGGGATTTTTCAACCACACCTATTTCTCCAGCTCAGTCACCAATACGCAGTGCTACCCAACTTGCCTGAGTTCTGCAGGAATTCACCAATTCCTCTTCTCATTGGTTACAGATTTTAGGGTGGTGGTTCTTTAGAACTGCTAAGCTGAGCTCAACAAAAGTTCAGAGGCCCTAGGCTAACAGCTCTCCCTCACAGATACATCTTTTAGAAATACTACAGGATTTGAGCCTCTACTTTCTTCCAAACTCTTTCAAAAGTTGCTTTCTTGATGTCTTAAAGCTTAATAGTAGATTAAGAAACCAGTAAACCACAACAAACCACAGAAGAGTTCAGTTATGTCATATTCTTTCCTTTCCCATTCAAGTATTTTGGTGGGTTTTCCCTTTCTTTCCTTTTTTCCAACAGCTTTTCTAGGAGATGGGACTTTCTGAGAAGCAAGACTTAGCTTTTCAAGATCTGACTCTGTTAATGAGAAAAAGTAGACATAGATATTCAAAACTGGCTTCTGTCTTAGAATGCCAACTAGCTAAGCAGTATTTGCTCATCAAAAATCAGAATGAGGCAGATGATGTCAATTATACAGCTATTACAGCTGCCAGGGTACTAAGTTAGCTTTTGAAATTCAGGAACAACTCTAAACACAGTGTAATGTATTTCAGTGAGCAGAACCTCTCCAAAGGAAGAGGGTCTTCTTGGCAAAGCAAGACAGCTTGCTGTTAGAAGAAAAAGGAAAGTAGCACATGCTTTCTCCTCATCTTGTTCCAAAAGGAGGAAAGAGAGGCAGGAAGCAGAGAATTTCAAAAGAATGGCAGCAACAGCACAAGAGCAGAGAAGCAAATTGCATAGGCACAGGCATTCCAAGATTGGAGAACAAAGCAGAGCAGACAGTAGAAGAACAGTCAGATAAGTCAGAAAACAGTTTTTAAGGTTCAAATGGTAGAGGCAGATTCAGAATATTCTGAAAAGAAAGGAGGTATGCTACTCTTTAAATGGCTAGAAAGCTCAGAATTACTTCTTTTGGTCTATGGAAGACACCTAAAATGACCAAACTGGGATTCAATTTGAGGGTAAGGTCAGACTCGTTAGCTAGTGCCATCATGAAGATACTGCTCACCACTGATGGAAAAATAAGACTTTTTATTCAGACTTAAAAGCTCAATCTCTGTCATCTGCATGACTTACAATAACTGCATTTGTTTAATGACCTTGACCCACAAAGACATCTCATTTAGTGTTAATCTCATATGAGCCTGTGGTATCAGCTTGAAGTGATAGTTCAATATCCTCCGCTATGTTTTTTGCTACTTTAAAAAAAAAAAAATACAGCGAGCAAAGGCTACTGATAAAGCAAGATATTTATGTGCTAGAACATACTGTAATCTGTCAGTATGTCATATTGTTGTTCGCCTTCAAACATTACTATGTACACAATACAAAAACATTTCATTAGATGGGCTGCCCACACTTGACAAATAATCTCACTGCCTTGATGTTTCTTGTCTGTTTACTGCTTCCAAGTACTCTCCAATCTGAAATGCAAGCCATTTCAGGACTGAGCCCATCTGTTTTGCTTGTACCTGCGCAGCACAGTGAGGCCCTGATCCATGCTAAGTCCATAGGAACAGAAAATGCAGCGCTTGCTCTCCACGGCAAAAGACTGACTTGGTACACACATAAACTACTTGCCAAGTCCCACCTCAAGTCTAGATTTTTAGAAAACAGCATTTACAAAAGCTCAAAAGCAACAGAAAGTTTTAAATTGCTTTCTCTGTAATACTTTAACAATCCAAGTTAGCTGTTTTCCTAAAACGTATTCAGCTCACACATTGAAGCTTTGTGCCAGTAACTGAAAAAACATCAAAACTATCATTTAATCACCTAACATTCATGTTACTCATTTGTACAAATTATTAGTGAAAGTGTTGCAAAATGCTCAGGAAGACAGACTCTCACATATTTTCAAACATCTGGAGACCTTTCCCCATCAGTAGAGCCTACAGTTCATCGTGCAGCTAGAATAAAAGCATTTGATCATGAAACAGTAAGAAAAATCCACAAGGCAATGCAAATTTCAGCTACAAATCTTCACTGTTCCTAACAAGTCTCAATCTGTGTATAAATTACATTAAAGCTACATTTCATTGCCCCAATGATATTTAAGAGAGTAGCTAAAAAACAGAAGGCATTTCTTATTGCTGTAATACAAGTAGCAGTGCCCTGAAGTAAAAACAGATGCATCGGAGAAGATTACTGAAAGCATTAAAACAGGTTTTTTAAGATGAGTGCAAACTACAGCAGGCACTGGCACAGACTATTTGGAGTGGAGCACAGCCAGTGCCCAGCAGTCTGCAGCAAAGATCTACCTTAAATTCTGATAGCGTTCCATTAAATTACTTTTACAAAAAAAGGCCTAAGATTATTTAGGGTTCATTTATTTTGGCATTTCTTTTCAGGTCAGGACTGCACTTTTGAAGCAAGTCTCCAGTCACTTCCTCTTACTACAGTTTTGTTTGCGTATGGAATGCTCTTGGATCACCATCTGGATTCCTTTTGGACTACAAATTGAAAGTTGTGATTTAGGCGCACCAAACTAGAGATAGTCCAAGTAAGACAGAAAACCCTGAAATATGTGCAGTGCTGATGTCAGGTTCTCAGCACCTCTTTTAGTCTACAGATCCACTCCTCTCAATCCACGTTACTTGCTAATACAGACATAGACTTAGCATTTTTATTTATTTATTTTCAAACACAGTAATGTCTTCTAAACTGATACTTTCTACTGTATTTTAATTGAATTATTTCAGCTAGAAGACTGAACAATGGTTCTGTTGCCTTTCTGAAGCCCATAGGCTATTCAGTTCACCATGCATATTGATGCAAAACTCACTCTCAGGGTATGCTTACAAGAAAAGCTAATTAGGAAAACATTTAAACTCCTTACAGATTAGTAATTTACACAACACACTATAAATTCCTTCCAGAATTAATTTACATTACACCAAACAGCAGTTTTGACAGTCAACTTAGCGTCACCTAGCTTTGTCATAAAGGCAAGTATAACCACTTCTGTGGAGATGCATACAGTCAGAATAACCTAAGTGCTCCACCCATTGCAAAGGCAATTTCTTCTCAGTAGACACTACCTTTCAGGTAAATAATAAAAAGGACTCGAAGGAATTCATGATGAAAACTAGTAAGATTAGTAAAATCTAGCTTAACTCTAACAAGAGAGCAAGTAAATTTAACTGAAACTAAATAAATTTTCAACAGTTTCTGTTAGCAGGTTCATAGTTATTTTTGTTTCAATATTCTCCAAAGAAAATCTCTAAAATCTATACAATACTGGGAAAACACCTTGCCAGAAAGAAATCTTTAAAGTGGTCCCTGAGGAAATGACAGCTATCATCTCAGAATGCACTATCCTCCCGTTTCCCCTTGGAAGAAAATAATAGAAAAAGTTTAAGAAGCTGCAAAGTCACATGGGTTAAAAATTCCTAAAGCTGCTTTTTAAGTACAGAAAGTGACACAATCTTTAAAGTTATTACATAACAGATCTGATCTAGAAACATATACTGGTTACATTTCATTGATATGTATGAAAATACTTAAAAATTCTGTTGTAGATACACAAGCACCTACATGTACTCAAAACACCCACATATCATTTCTACAGTTGAATTCAATATGGAGAAGTGAAGAGTTATACCTCTTATGTGTCAAAAACTAAGAGCCATCATATTCTGATAAGAATTACAATAAAGGACTAGGAAAAGCAACCAGAAGCAATAAGTTTATCAGTTACATTATTAACTATGTCCACTAGATAAATATTACAGCTGCATTTATCAACAGAAAGTTGAGAGCAGAAAGCATGAAGAAAAACATAAAAACAGCCTGAAGGGGAGCACCAAGAACACTACTGTCTGTTTGACTCCTGGCTTAAAACATTAACATTCATATTAAAAATATTTCTAAGTGTGATCTATGCTTCAAGATGAACTAGCCAAATCATTTTCCAGACTGTGAAAAACATATAATTGTAACTGAACATTTAAAGTACTTTAAAGAGTATGAGATTGAAGCAATTCTCAGCTCTCTGACTTACCCCTGCATTAAATAAGGGAACTGGTGGCTTGGTATGGGATTGCTTTGTGCTTGTGGAAGATTACGATGCCTCACTCCATCTGCACTAGTGTTCAACGATGTAGATGAAGCTTCTTGGTTTGCTGGTGAGGCAGCAGTTGATCCAGAACGATCCAAATTCTTAAAAATAAATAAAATTGAGGTTGGGGATCTTTTTGCCTGTTACAAGATTTACTATTGTGTCTTAAAAAAATATTTGCTTCAATGTTTTGTCACAAGTTTTATTGAGAATATAAGCACCAAGCAAGTCTTCTAGGGTTTTACTGGTTCTGGCAAGCCTTTAGTAAAAACAGAAATTCAAAATTGCACTCAGGTGCACCTATAAACAAAGTGAAGTTTTCAGAAAGACTCAACAACTTGATGGGTCCCAGTGACAGCCACAAGTCACTGGGAATCAAAGTTTCAAAAAGCTGAGCCAAATGAAAGCTTAATCCAAAGAACATTTAGAAGCAACAAAAATTCTAGTGGCTACTGTTAACAAAAGTAACTACAACCTCAGGATGCAACTTTATATTCCGAGACAACAGTGCCTGCAGTGCCTTAAAACACCATTCCTCTATTCTTGTCTTCAGTTTCCCCTTCTACTCTTATACTCATCATCTGCTTCGCTGTGCCAGCTGCCCAATCCAAATTGCTGTGCTCCCTGCTGGGAGGCGGCAGGGGATGAGAACAGAGAAATAGCTAGGAACTACTTAGACTCCCAGAAACACACCTAAAGCTAGGGGGTCAGACCTTCAATGCTTTCCAAGATCAATACTTTACCCTGGAAGCAGGACAACAGCTGGCTCTCTTAGATTATTTGTCACCATAACAAGACTGCAATTTGGCCATTGAGATGCATTATTTTAGTTTTAATAAATCTCCAAATCCTGTTGCTAAGCATTACTGTCATGTTTACTCAATAGAAAATCCCCTTCAACTTTGACAACTCAGGAATTGAGGAGCTGCAATTACTTAAGACATCCATAACACATTTGCCCTACAAAGGAAAAATAGAAAAAATTGCCACTAGACAGCGAGGGGAAAGTAAAAATTAAAACAAATGGAAGAACAAAAGCCATTCAAGCTTTGGGTTTAGGTTGTTTCCTTCAAAGTATTAAGAACTTAACACTGTGCATACTGACTGCTTTAAGCAGTCATTAATACAGTCATTTAAATACAACATTTACAATTGATCTACGTAGAAATAAAACAATTACAAAGGAGGCCCCCGTGTCCTGCTTGCAAACAGAGATAGAGATATAAATACAGCCTTTGAAAAGATGATATAACCACTGTCCACTCTCTACTATTGCTTAAACTGCTTGCATTTCTGACTGTTACATAGCAGTCAGAAACAGTACCCTATTGACAGAAGAATGAAGACAAGACAGCTTATTACTGGAAGGGTATTTCCCATATGCTGATAATCAATACACCACAGATGAGAAGTACCTACAATGGTATTGTACACATTCCTTTCTGACTAACCTTCAAGGGTCACTTAGTGATGTTTCCAGCTCTGGAAAAAGCCAGGAGAATTACAGTGATGATGACCAAGTCATCAACAGAAATATTAAGTGCCCTTCTGTTAAAACAGAGTACAATCAAAGACATCATCATTTTTGGTGGGTGTGAAGAGGGGAAGACTCAAAACACCCTAAACAAGTGTTCTGTGAACAGCTGAACTAATAAAACGTTCAGAACACTTTCTACTTCTCACAGTCTTACAGACAATATAACTACCTTGAAGCTACTGCCTAACTGCTGGCCAATAACTGTCAAGCAGAATGAATGTTGTCAAGCTCCACCTGTCTATCTCACAAGGGCACTAACTTGACTGGTCTCTCTTCAGTGGTACAAGTTTTCACAAAATAAATCAGAACTTAGGTTGTGGGGTTTTTTTGTTTGGTTTTTAAATCTGAATACACTGTTCAATTCCTGCCAAAGATACAGGGATATGGAGAGAAAGGGAAATGTATTTTTTGATAAAGTGTTAAAAATAAAGAATAGCTTAGACAAAGTAGTGCTTTATCATCTAATAAACATAATTGTGTTACAATTTGAAAAAAGGTCATCTCTGTTTAAATAAAGTGACACCCTTAAATAATCAAGTCTAATTGTACAAATTCATATGGCATGCTGTACTTTCACCACATTATTTTACAGTCAAATTTCAAAAAATAAAAGAGGAATTCCTGGAAAGCTTCCTCAGTGTAGAAGAGATTCATGTCCTATGTATGAGAAAAACTCACTGAGCTACTGCTGGAGGTTGAAGCTCCGTGACCTTCTCTACTGGTGCTGGGTTTTGGAGAACTTGGGGGTGTCCGGGAAGTACATACCAGATGAACCATATGATATTCATCTTGCTAAAAATTAAAGAAATCGAAAAGCTAAAACAACAATATTTTAAATTTACAAGCAAAAAAACTCTTTAAAAATCCACTTTCAAAGTTGCATTTGCAATCAGTAAAGAAACATTATACAAAATGGAGAGACCATAAAGCAGAACTTGAGCCTAGCACAACAGAAGTCTTTTATTTCAGAACTGATGTTTTCTTAGCAGCTATCCACAATAACATATTGAACATTCACTTACCCCCAGTTTTCCCTAGAACTGCAATACAGCAGAACCAATGGAAGACCACACAGAGAAACATGAGGAAGTGTATCATAAGCTTTAACTTTTATTTTGGAAAAATCTCAAATCCTTCACAGGGCTCGGTTTCCCTTAAGTTAAGAATGCTTACATTTGCATCGAGATCTAATGAAGAGTGTTATTCAATAGAGACATCAGTGTAAATGAAAAATTTAGGCACTGGAATTCCACGAGCAGACCAAGGTAAAAAAAATGTAGCAGCCACTGCCTCCACCTCACTCCAGTCTAAGCTCGGCTCAAGCCTAACCTGCAGATGCCCAACTGAAGAGCCCCTGCAGATATTCTACATTCAGGGAATGCTATTTGAAGCACTAGATGGGACTTGAGTACTCCTAAATATTTGAAAGTGAGGAAGCAAACAAGTGGCACCACTTGAAGCCATGGCAGCATGCAAGTAATCAGCCCACACCAATTCTTCATGAATGCGCTCCCCCCCTCAACATGGATGTCTTAACAACTTCCGTCTGAAGCTATTTCACTGTACCAAATGAAAACACCCCATTATATCAGCATGCCTGAAACTTATATGGCCACAGCAACACAAACAGCTATGACTGTATTTAAATTACACGCTACAGCTTCCTCTGTAATCAAATTTTAAAAAAGAAAAGCAACAAAAAACCCCCTCCCCTCTGTCCTCTTCTGAAATCAGCATGGCACAGTCAAGCTGCAGTTTAAGTGAGATGACATCTAGAAATACCAGGTTTGGAAGGTTTTCTGAACTATTAAAAAAAAAAATGTTGAAACACACATTTACTCATTTTTAAGTTTTAATCTTTAGGAATAAAAAAACCTGGATAACTGTTTTTATACACCATTGTGCATTACTGCTAGCATAGCCTATCCACATTCATTTAAAATCCTCCACATGTATCAGTTTCCAGCCCTAAGCATGGCCTCACTATTACATTAAGTGTAATTTCTTACCAGTTGGTGATAGTAAGCAATGATCAGAGAGCACTGAACACATGTGATCAGCATTCTGACCACATCAAATGCTTTTAACCTAACTAGTTACCTTCTTTCTAGATAAGAACTTATGCCACTCAAAGGCAAAGGAAGCTAGACATATTACTTGTAAGCTTACAGCGTACAGCTTTATTCAATGTGACAGTTTACTGTAATATTTTTCTATTTATACATAACGTGTTGGACATCACTATGCTTGAAGAGTGCCACAACTTCCAGCCTCAAGGTATTTTATATCAGTGAAATGATACTGCTCAGTATCAAAGAGCAAGTATCACAAAGCTGAACTGGGAGATGTAGTAAATCCTCAGGTAATACGGGGAATTTATAGCTCATCAAGTAGGAAGAATATGGCAGAGAACGAGATTGAACTTAAGAGTAATCATACCTTTTTTCCAAAAGCTCTTAGAAGCTTGAGCACAAAAAACTCCCCTTCTTCCAGCACAAATTTTTAACTTTGTGCTTAAGACTGATGAGTATGTTTCTAAATTCACTAAGTTTCTTTAACTAAACCCAAGGCCTATAACTACTAAAGTGCCTTTAAAGTCAAACATAGCCCCTGTATAGTGAAGGAAGACATTACTCAGGCAAAGTTTCTCCTCTAGCACATAAGCAAGGTTTGAAATTGTGTTTCCTAAAACTAGTCTGCTGTAAGCAGGCCAAGTGAATTTAAGGGATTCAGACTTCATTTTGTCCTTAACAAGCAAAAGTAAGCTTTGAGATTGGTTATATAACCATTTTCATGAACTTTTAAGTGGTACAGGACATATACTGGTTGGCAATAGTCCAGCTCCAGTTTTCTAGTAAACCTATACATAGTAAGTTTCAATCATTTTTTGGTAAGCAATTAAATCCAATTTAATAAAAGCTATTCCAGAATGAAGACTATAAAGTAACAACAGTGTTAGTCTGCTCAAGCAATACTCAAGATTCCTCTGCATTGGTTTCTCCATACTTAATACAGAAGTTCAGTTGCCCGCTTTCACTAAAGCATTTTTCTCCTTTAGAAACTTTCCTCCATACTAAAGTGTAATCCATTCTTGCAGTCTGTACATTGATTTTTACCTTAACACTTTACAAAAATAAGTATCATTACCAACACCCAGGTACTGTATTACAGTTTACCTATTTCATAGGATTAAACCCCATATGATTGCTATATTTGGAAAATACATTATTAAACAACTGATGCATCCTTCTGTTTACAAGGAGTTTAAAGACTACTCAACATAATGCATTATGTTTCAATTTCGATGGTAACAGCAAACAAAGTTTTTTATGATCTGCTCTAAATATCATCTTAGTCTATATATTTTTTAAGAACTTCACTAACTTAAGGAAGTCCCTATTACTTGGTAGCATCAATGCAAACTCTTTGAACCAATTTGAGAACCAAGTGCATGTATTTCAAGGTTTCCCACATCAGATGTCATATGTAGTCAAGATTTGGATTTAATTTAAATGTGGACTGAAGAATCCAAAGTTAGATTAGTAAAATTACTTTTTCCAAGATAAACCAGCACAATAATAATAAAAAACCCCCCACATGCAAGAACCAACAAACTTTCAAACATCATCAGGAACAGTTGACAGCTGACAAATAAAACCATGACATAAAATAGCTTTCCCAGCAAAACTATTCAGAAATTTAGAATTCTGGTTTTGTATATATTACCCTTAATTTGCTTACACAAGTGCCGTTTTTAATGTAAGTTCTTGGATTTAAGTACACATCAGAAATGAAATGATGTCCCAAACCAACACAAATCTGTTAAATGATTCCATTTAGGTCATAGTGGGAACTGTCCAAAGAAGTCACTCTACACTACATACCACTTGCTTGGGACCTACACAGCCTACTTGCTCTCCCACCAGTTGGAAACACGCCTCAATCAATCCACAAGTATCACAATCCTACATACAAGGGATACTTGAAAATACATTTTCCTCAACATATCAACATTATATGGTTACATCTCTTGATACAACAATGAAAATTTGAAGCTAAACAACACAAATCTAAATTCCTATTTCCCAAAAAGGGATTTTGATCAAATATCATATGGTGTTGATATAAAGCTTACTTTTCTGAGAACATCTTTCAGCTGCAGGTGATCAGGAAGCAGTCTGCCAGAATACACCAGTCTCTGATCCTTTGTAGACTAGGAGATGGGACAAAGAAAGGATTTTAGCTTTTTCCTGCTGTACAGATATACAGCTGGAGATAACATTTGCAGATAAGAAAACCCCTTAAAATTCCAACCACCAACAGGCAGCCTTAAAAACATTTCAGAGGCTTCACAAGTCCACCTCGCAAATTAATTCTGAAAAAGAATTCTGCTATTATGCACTCAGCAAGAGTGCCGTAACAATTAACAACACTTAACTGGCAAATGCTGCTCAAGAAAACTACCAAGTATATTCAAAATTTCCTTTCTTTTCAAGATTTGCTCTTTACCCTGCTCCATTCCCAGGCGCTTGCTGAAAGAGTAGATGTAAAAGTGGTTGGGCAAAGAAAAACAAACAAACAAACAAACAAAAAACCCCCCCCAGAAATAGTTAGTAGAATGATGGAACGATAATTAAAATATGCAGAAGAAGGGCACAAATTTCAATCTTTTTCAACAGGGAATTTCTGTTATTAGTCCCTGCCCCCATCCCCCACCCCCC